ATCATTTTTTATCAACATCATCTTTGATATCGCATTTTTGCATATATATTTGTAYATATTTACTCATAGTTCAAGATCTATTTTAATGCACGTACCTGATTTGGGTAAATTTCATAGCCCAATCCATAATTAAGAAAATAGTGACATCATCAAGGTTGCTTAGAATGTTCTGCTTCGCTAGATCCTGGTTTGCAGACCGCAAAATGTGTGCTTTCCACTTCTCGATATGCCGTTTGGCTTCAGSGAAATCGTATAGTGGGTCATCTCTGTTGTCTTTAGTATAGCTAGCATTAKAATGTTCTTGGATTTTACTTTCAATTTCTTTGTGTGTGGCTTTGATGTCTTCGCAGCGTTCACAAATCATTTCGTGCGAGTGGTTGYATAGTACTTGGAAGTTTTTGTCCTTTGGGTCACTAAGAGCATAGTGTCTGCAATGATCAGCACAGGGGGAAAGCTCTTCTTTACAATGGACTGTAAAATTGGTTTTCAAGTACTGCTTACCACTGTCCAATCGTTTGTTGATCTTCTCAGCCCATTCCTTCGATACTCCCCAGTAGACAAGTTGGTCAGTAATTGTCTTCATAGTTGGAATGCCGGATTCCCCATCTGCTGCAATATTGTCAAGTCCAGATAGTGACTTTCGTTCAGACGCCTCCCTTGCATCCAAAATGCGGTAAAGAGTAGATCTACTTAATGGTACAAATACAGGGTGCAGACTGCTACAAAACCTTTGATACAGGTTTATCATCRTTGCCCTCGTGACAGTTCTTATTACATTAGGCATCTCAATCACATCTCCCTTTTCCAATTTCAGTKTACGCATGCCAAAAGCAACATYTTGGTGGAAGTAAGGCCTATATGCGAAGTCAAGRAAATGATCCACTTTCGGCATATCTAAGCTAATACGGTGCGTTTTCTGTTTGATTATCTCTAGACCCGGTCCAATATTTTTAGCATGTTCACGGGCTCTTTTTATCTGCCATTCGCTTACTTTCTCAAAGGGCTCGTGTAGTTCCTGAAGCTTCTTTACTGTATGTTCGTTAGCGTATATGCTGAGGATCTGCATTTTCAATTGTTTTGTAGGAGCGTTAGCGTAAGCAGTCATAAGAGCTTTTAGCTCATTAGACACCTCTCTTTCAAAGGACAACGACTTGTACAAGTCTTCCATAGCTCTGGGAGCAATAAAACTGCAAACCAAGCGACATGCTTCAGAAGCCTGTTCAATACATTCTTGTTGTTCACCTTTCGTGGCTTTGTCCCATTCTTTGTGCATCTGGTAGGCTAAAGGTTTCGGTGTATCTTGAAACGAGACATCAGATATCTCCTTCATTGCATTATTGAAGACGGTTAATGGGTCTTGGGATTTAGGCTCTCCAAACGATACGTCAGAGTTTTGTGAATGTGCTACGTAGCACGTTGGACATATTGCTGTTGAAAGATCAGTCATCATCTGTATAATTGATTATACGAATTCAAAAATATTTTCACATTGATTTAA